CGGCTGCAGCCAGTCAATCCCGCTCCCTCTCTCTGTCTCTCTCTTTCTCACCCTCAGATTCTGTTCATCACCAAACCAAGAGAGAGAGAGAGAAAGAAACGAGAGGGGGAAAAATGACGACCACATCAGAGCTCGAGGACCCCCTTTCTCTCTCCTCATTCAAACTCTCCCATTGACTCTCTCTCTCTCAACCAAATTGGAAATTTTCAATTTCCCCCCAGTCTCCAAGTCCTCTTCAGATCATAACTCGACCTTGATGATTTCCCCCAAAAATTAGGGTTTCGAGCTCCCAATCCCATCACACAATGCCTCAGTACCAAACCCCCAAATCCTGGACCCTCGTAGGCGCCGGAGGCCATGTCGTCGATGTTGAGACCGCCGTCAAAGATGGGATCTTGGGTAGCATCGCCGGCGGTGCGGTCACCGCCTCCGAGAAGCTCGACCTCAAGAAGATGATCGAGGATTTGGATCCTGTCGATGATATCCCTGCGGTCTTCATCTGCCCTATTTCTCTCGATCCGATGACGGATCCGGTCACCCTCTCGACGGGCCAAACCTACGAGCGATCGAACATTATGAAATGGTTCTCTTTCGGTAACGTCACCTGCCCTACTACGATGCAGGAGCTTTGGGATTATAGCGTCACCCCCAATCGCACGCTTCAGCAGTTAATTCACGCTTGGTTGTCGCAAAAGTATTTGAGGATGAAGAAGAAGGCGGAGGACGTTAACGGCCAAGCTGCTGAGCTCGTTGATTCTCTTAAAAAGGCGAAAGGGCAAGCCAGAGTTCAGTCGCTTAGAGACCTCCGCGGTCTGGTCACCGCCCACGCTTCTACTAGAAAAACTGTGGTGAGCTCTAATGGATTTGGTTTGATTTCTTCGTTATTGGGTCCGTTCACTTCGCATGCTGTTGGGTCTGAAGCTATTGGGATTCTTGTTAATCTAAGTCTTGATTCGGAATCGAAGGCGACTTTGATGCAGCCCGCAAAGTTTTCGCTCGTAATCGATCTTTTGAATGAAGGAACGACCGATACGAAGATAAATTGTACTAAGTTTTTGGAAATGTTGATGGTGGAGAAGGATTTTAGATGGGAGCTAGTATCAAGCTTGAGTCTTTTGGTAGGGATTTTGAGATTGGTCAAGGATAAGAGGTACCCAAATGGGGTTTTGGCTGGAATTAGCATTCTCAAGGCTATTTGTTCATATAGTCAGGTTAGGAGTCTAGTCGTTAGCATTGGAGCTGTTCCTCAGATAGTTGAATTGTTGCCCGAAATGAATTCGGATTGCTTAGAACCTGCATTGAAGATTCTGGACGATCTTTCGACTGTACCCGAAGGGCAATTGGCTTTGAAGGAGAGTTCGCCAACTATACCCAACATGGTGAAGCTATTGATGAGGGTTTCAGAGTCTTGTACTCAAAGTGCATTGTCGATTTTGTGGGCAGTTTGTAAGCTTGATCCTGGTGAATGTGCGAAGATTGCAGTTGAGGCTGGACTGGCAGCAAAATTGTTGCTTGTTATTCAGAGTGGTTCTGATCAGGCATTGAAGCAGAGGTCAGCTGAGTTATTGAAGCTTTGTAGTTTAAATTACACGCCGACTCATTTCATTTCAAAGTGCAAGCTAACGAGAACAATGCAGTGAGATTTGGATTCTTGATTATGAAATGATTATTGTTTCTGGTTCATTGGGGAGGCGAGAACGATGCAATGAGAGTTGGATTCCTGATTATGAAATGATTATGGTTTTTGGTTCATTAAGGAGCAAAGAAGTGTGAATTGGAGGGAGCGCTATTGAGCTGGACGAGATGGGTCTTTTTCGGGCAAGTGTGGGGTATATAATGCTGTGATCCTGTTGTTTATATATTGGTTTGGATGCCTTTGAAGTTTTGCTTAATTGATTGATATAATTTAGAAGAATTGGTATATAGCAGATTCCGCTATGATTATTCTTGCTCAGTGATTGGATGGGTTCCGCCCAAATAAGCCCTTGAGATCGTGTAATTGTCGTAGTCATTCTATTGAAAATTTTGTGCTTGTAAAATTGTTTCATCCAAATTTGGTAAGCAACAGATTAGAAGTCAATAGCAATTTCTTTTATCAAATGTGCTCATCTGCAATATGCTATTTTGTGCTTTGAATAGTGATTATGGAGTCCAAGCTCCATCCGTAGCATATTTGATTATTGTCTGCACTGGAACTTTCCAATAGTTTTGATCCTTCAAGTTTCTAGGACTTAATGTCCTTCCGTAGTTTATGCTTTAAAATTTTTATGACCAGTATTTCTAGCAATCCTCGGTGCGTTACCGGTTGATTCAAACATGTATAGCGATAACCATCATTTGTCAATGGTTTCATATTTATTGTTTTCCCCTGCAATGTGCTAAATTCACTATCCCTTTTGAGTCAAATTTCTCTTCTATGTTGTCTTCTGCTTCTGGTCGGCTTGTAGTCAAATTTCTCTTCTATGTTGTCTTCTGCTTCTGGTCGGCTTGTAGTTTTCTTGAACTGTCGTATACATCATGGCATCTCGTTAGCAATTCCTATTATACACATTGAGGTGACCTGTTTGAAGGCAATGTGGAAATCCTTCAGATGGTCCCTCAGCAGGTGTTCAACTGTAGAAATTTAGGTGACAATGCTATGGGGAAATTGTGAAGAACTCTTATGTAGGAAGGGTGAAATTCCTAGTAGTCGACAGAAAAGTAGGTTGTAGTTTAGTATTGTTTGATGACGGTGTAGTTCATGGCATTTTGTGTCTCGTCTTTGCGGAGGAGGTGATTGCTGTGAAAGGTCAATGGACCACTCTGTAATTTGTTCGAAATCAAAAGAATCGACAAGATTGGATTTATAGACAATGGAAGTAGGAGATTGAATATATAGACAATGGAGGTTGGAGACATGAATCAGATGATGTTGTCGAGGTCGGGAAAGGTGGTGTCTGCGGTCAAGGAAGAGTTCAAACGAGGTCTAAACTACCAACTCAGTTACTGGTGGAAGCAGGATTTACACAATTAAACTGGAGGAGCTGAAGGCAGCGTGAAGTTTCAGGAAAACGTTTGGTGGAAGAATCAGTTATTTGAGAGAAGTGACTGCTTAATCACTGTGGCTCCGACCCATTGAACTACCCTAAATCAGTTAATGGATTGAGGCATTTGATGAAAGATGGGATTTCATATAAGATACCTAAACCCCTAATTAGAACAAATTTAGAAAAGTTGGAACAAGTTTGGAGCTATATTTGTCTTTCAGTCGAAAAAGAAACCAAATTGAAACCCAAGTTGTATCGTCATTTCTTTTGAGGGAATTGTTTGTAACGAAGTTGAGAGGAAACCTCGGTGATCCTGGATCTAAATCTCCATTTGCTTCTTCATTTCATTGGAATTTCTTTCAGTTATGTAATGCTAACTTATTGCAGCAAGCATTGGAGCCTGTTCTTCCAGATATTGATTGATAATGGAGGATTATCGATGTCCAAGCTCAAGCCTTTAACAATTTCCAACTGAAAGAAGGTGACAGCTTGAGTTTATATATATTCAGGGCCTAGCTTCTATCGGCTGCTTGCTACTTTGCCTACTGTGTGATTAATAATCAGATCAATTGAGCTTTTATCCTGACCCAAGCTCGATATCCAGTTAATCACAGTGTTTGTTGCTTATCGAGTCTGTCAAGAACTTAAGGGTGGCATGTTGTCTGCTTTCTTTCCTTGATTGCAACTTTTGGGGCCCCTAGAAATCATTTATCTCCATTTTATCTTCTGCTATCGTGCAGACAACCCTGTAGTGGCTCCAGATGAATCTTTGGCCCAATCCTAATTGTGAGTTCAATGTCAAACAACCGCCTTTACCTATGACTGGGTCGTTTTGTTGACGTGCGTGACATGGTCTGGCTAATCCAAATATAAAATTTGAGTTATATATGTGAACGTGGAGTCTCCACGTGACTTCCGCGTGAAAACGCGGTTGATGCATGAGAACACGAACACGAGCCGGCCCATGAAGGCCCACCCAAATACATCTTATATTATATATATGATTGAGATGTTTAGATTTTTCGGTGATGCAAAGGAGGTGTGCGGTGTGCGGCTACAGTTCGAGCGCAAGGAGATTTGTGAACTTGGCGGCTACAGGGCGTGCAAAAGAAGGGTACACAGAGAGTTTTGCGGCTGGAGATTAAAAGAGCAGTCGTCTTTTTCTTTGTTTTGTGCAACCTTTTGTAGAGAGTTATTTTGTGAGGGATTTGAGAGTTTGTTTGAGGGTTTAGTTTGTGAGTGATTGTAAACCCTAGTTGTAATCTCTCCCTCTATTAGTAGATCTTCCCCCTCCTTGCCCCGTGGACGTAGGCAATTTGCCGAACCACATAAAAATTGGTTGTACTGCTATTTGTGTGATTTGTAATAGCTTTTAGGTTCCCTCGACGCGCAGTCCTAGAGCTGACGATAGGAAGAGCAAATATCCCACTTTGATGGGATATTAGGCTTCAGATTCTTGTTCCCTTTGAGAAACAAGAATTCTTATTGCGACCTGACTCTCTTGTTGTGATGCCGAAGTGCTGCCGAAATTTCCGCTGCGCGCAACAATATATTGTTCTTTATTTCTTTTCTCTTCTTTTATTTTGTTCTTTTTTTTTATTTTTTTAGCTTCTTGGAAAACCTGTGTTAAGACTCTTGGAATTTTCTAAAATTTCATTTTTCTCAATTACGTTTAGGTCTGTGGCATCAATTATCCATCTGTTTATCCTTTTCATACTTTCAACATTAACGTTTTCTTTGCATTAAACACTTTTCAGTTTCCCGTCTTTAAATTACATACAATTTTTTCTTTATTGAAGATAGAATATGGGAAATGCTCTATAAAGATTAGTATTAACCATTGATGTGGGTTTAAACAAATAGAAGAATGACATGCTGAGAAAAGAATTTGTGAAATGCTTCATATGTCTAAGCACGAATTTTCTTTTATCTATTTATTAATTGATTGATACATTTTTGTAGGTACTGTGCATAAAGTGATGTAATTGAAACTTGACTCAAGTTTCAGCAATATTCTAAATTCCTTATTCAGTTCACAACTGAATGTATTCAAATCCAAGAGCTCACGCGCGTCAATCTATACTGCTTATAAAGAATGATTACGGTGTCAATTTTTTTTTTAGATTTTCTCTTTTACCCACTTAAATTTTAATAGTAGTTGTTGATGTCTCATTTATCAAGCATGGGTTTATGTGTGGATTGCTAAGGGAGTTAGGATCATCATACTCCTTTAGACGGCTGGCTCCTGAGCTGTGAATCTCGTCTTGCACATGTAGAATACTTAAGATGTTAGAATTTGGATTTCTGATGGTCCTCCGACGATCAAGTCAGTTCAGAGCTTGAGTGGAAAAGTAAGAGTTAAGTGTTTAGTTTTTTAACAAGAGGATCGCTTACCCTAGGCAGCAGACATTAGTTTCCTTTTATAGCAAACCCGAGAGGTAGATAGGTAAATTCGGCCGAGTCAAGCTGACGGCTCAGTCGTCATTCGCTTTACAGGTGTCGGCTACAGAGAGGGGTGAGTCACCCAGGCATTCAACGTGAGGGCGACAGAACTTGTGTGGTGCTGTCGGGATCCAATGAGTCATAAAAACTTTCAGGGCTGAGGAAATAATGATTCTGATCAATGTGATGGCAATCAACTGTTGGTATATGGCCCGAGGACATACCGCCTTCCGACTCGTCTTCATGAGAGGGACGACAAGTGATTATTCTTGTCTCGATTATGCAAACAGATTGATAAGTACTGTCTTTTTAGTCGGTCTCGCAAGATGTCGACCTGAACTAATGGAATGAAGAGGAGCGGGGTCGAGTCGAATGATGCGGACCAATAAATATCACCTTTTTGTCAGCCTCGCAAGTTGTCGACCCAAAATAAAAGAGGTTGGCTCAGAAGGGCAAGTGAGAATTAATGCTTCAACTTGGCCCTTCTTGGGAGTTGTGCCTAGGCTATTTGTGTCGTCCTGGCTAGGGCAAAGCTTAACTGAAGATTAGTTAATACAGGACATGTGTCTATTGTTAGGAAGAGGATTAACACTTAGGTTATTTGTAAGATATAATAGTAGTAGTATTGATTGTTTATAGTAATTACTATATTAATTGTTATAATTATTATTGAATAATTATATTATTAAATAAATCACTAATAATGGTAGCAGTGTTATATATAGTAGTAGAATTAATTGTTTATAGTATTTAATAACAGGTAATAATATATTGTTATTCTATTATTTAAAAGTAGTATAATTATTAGTTGTTTAATAATAGTATTATAATAAAGTAATTTATGAAATAGCTATACTATAAGTCATTTACAAATCATAATAAGATAATATACTATTAAACATAATATTATTATTTAATAAATAGTATAACTAAATAATACAATTATTTAATAGTATAAATACTATGATTGTTTTAATATTATCACGTAAATCAGGAATTAAACTATTATTATTACTTTTTAAATGAAATAATTATTTGAATAGTATATAAAGTGTATTAAATTATTAATAAATTAGTATATTACTTTATAACTGTTAATAGTGTTATAACTATACTTTGTATAATTATAAGAGATAAGAATAGTCATAAAATAGAATTTTAATTGATTTTGATTATGCTAAATTATAATTATGCAAGAATGACATTTAAATTATAATAATATTTCAAATAATTATTATTATTCATACAATTATTCATGCACAACTTTATTGAATGATTTCATTTATTAACACATAAATACAATTCCTCAACAAAAAATAAATATAACAGTATGCAAGTAAGTATATCTACGTGCACCGTACTAGTTCTACAAAAACTTACTATTCTTTTCTTCGACTTTCAAGAAATTTCAAGCATACGTCTAGTTTTCGAAAATTTAGGCCCTGACTCTGAATTTGCCAAAAAAATTGCAACATCTCGCTCTTACTTCTGACTTCAAACCTATCTTCGTCTTTGTTTAACTGTAGCGACTAATTTTTCATATTAATATTTTTTTTTCTTTTTTGGTATATGGAGTTTTTTTTAGCTTCTTTGTACCATAATTATCCATTAATGTTCAGATAATTTA